TTTTTTTTTTTTTTTTTTTTTTTTTTTGCTATAGGTTATTGCGCGAGCCCTGAGTAATTGCTTCGTGTAATACGATTCTCGAATAAGCCCGCAGCTTTAACCGCGTTATCAATCCTCCGTGGAACTACGTGGCCTTTGGTAAACATTATTTGGCGAGGGAACGGGCGCTTCAAAGTCCCCGGATAAATGTCATTACGCTTGTTACGTGCAGCCGCACTTGCTGAAAGAAAGAAACAAGCGCGCGCGCAGATGCGGTAGGGAGCTTTCAACCCGTTCGGGATGGCAGCTTTTTCGATTTCAGGACGTCGGGTTTCTTGCGGTCTTCGCAGTCCCGCCAGTCGGATCTTCGCAATTATGTGCCACATTTTCCCTCATCCTCGGCGAAAGCCACGATGCGTTTCGCGCGGTTGAATTTAGCGTAAGCTGCACTCGGCCGATTTTCACTCTTTAATTTCGGATAATGTCAAATTACACGAGCCGCACGCAAATCTGACGCGACGTCTAATTTCTCGTCGCGAAGTAATTTTGTTTTCTCTCTCGCAATCAAGACCTCTACACGGGAAAAAAAGATTTGCTATATGGACAACTAAAATTATTAACTGCAGGAGCAAATTTCCTTGCTTCCATAGCAACGTTGTTTAGTTGTGATAGCTAAAAGATTTGCTAATATATATATATCACAACTAAATTTGCTATGAAAGCAAGAAAATTTGCTCCTGCAGTTAATAATTTTAGTTGTCCATATATTAGCAAATCCTTTTTTTTTTTCTGTGTGGAAATTCATGCTGCACACGCGAGAAAGTGTAATATGTGTGTCTTCTTCTTTTTCTCTTCATTTTTATTTAACATACGCCGTATCGCCGACGTAAAATTCGTCAAGTATGCTGATGTATCGCGCGCTCGCTGCTAAAAGGTTCCGCTCCCCGAAGAACGCGTGTTTTACTGGGTCATAGCACTCGATATTCCGTTCTTTCTTCGAGCGAAAATTCCGCGCTGCTCTACCCATCAATGATCTCCGATACCAGTCGCTATCGAATGTGTCTTCCGGATCCGTCTCGTCGTCTCTTTTAGATTGCCGGTCATAATTCTCTGATAGTTCCCTGATCCCCGATAGTTCAGAATAAAAACTTTTAACCGTCGTGTAAAAGTCTTTATAACAAATTTTCTTTTACGTAAAAAAAAAAAGAATTTTTAAATAAATTAAATTTAAGTAATTAAATAAATTTAAGTAAATAAATAATTAATTAATGTTAAATAAATCAATAAATAATTGTATGTATATCTCACCTGTAACGGATTGCATTTTATACAAGAAAAAGAGAGAATTTTCTCATTAAATAAGTATGTGTATACACAGAGTGAGGCAATCATTATTACTACCGTGAATATATTCCCGTTGTATCAAACAATCTAAAACAATAGTGCCTACAAAGAAAATCACACATAGAAAAATACATACTGATTCAAATAAATGTTACTTGTTTCAAGAATTTCATAAATTTATATATCCGCAAATCTGTCTGAATAAGTTTTCATGAACATCAAAGACTGCGGCAAAATTTCGCTCCTTTCCCATTTTTTGGAATTTTGTAAAACTTCCAATATTCCAATAAATAATATATCAATTTATATATCGAAATTATAATTTATACATTGTGTATCGAACAATTATATCTATATATCGAAATATATCGATTTGGAACTTAAGGAACGAATAGATTATAAAAACATAAAATCTCAATATTATTCTCGTTATCGTTTGGGAGATGAACGATTCAAAAGGCTGCAATTGCTACTTGTTTGTTTAGATTGCAATCTTTTGGATCATTCATCTCCTAAACGACTACAAGAATAATATCGACATTATGTTCTCAATCTACTCGATATGAACCTCAAATTAGTGTATCATTAATTGGAATATTCGGAGTTTTAGGAAAAAGGACGAAATGTCTGAGCGCTTGGCTCTCTTTATTCACTCTCTTTATTCTGAATCCTAGTAAGTTGAACATTTCAATCGATAATATTGAATTAAAACAAAAATTCAATTTGCTTACTGAGAATATAGAGTCGCGTCAACTTCTAGATAAAGTTCTATAATATTCTTGTAAAGAGAATAAATTCTTTGAATAAATGATAATGAGCTTTCCTAAAATTTGTCATGAGTATATAACGTCAAGACTGTTATCAAGAAAATATTCTTCGTTAAAAATGATCATTGTTTAAGGGAATGCTGAAGCTGAAAACTTTACCGACAGATCACTTACATTTTTCTGCAAAGTTTACGTCGTATTGGTTACACAGAATTACAAATGCTTTTACGCAATGAAAGTACGTGCAAAAATAAATAGGAGTGTTGCTCGATACGTGACGAAAACGAACAAAAAATTTTTAATATAAAATCTCAAACTGTCAGTTAACGTAATATTTGCCTAATCCAAAAGTTCCGCAGCTTGTACATACCGAAAGTGTGGATGCTCCAAACAAGGAAAATTTTGAAGAACATTGCTCCACCTTCGCATCTGTATTTGGAAGCTTAAGAATATCGAAAAAGTTTGCAGAAAGATTTCTACGCATATATAGTTAGGTTTTCCGTTGAATATAGTAAAATAAAGCAACACACACATTCATGTAAGTTCCGTATATACAAGAAATACGAAAAGGATAGCGTGATTAGTGACGATTGTCTCTGCATTATCGACACTGTTCGAGCTCGTCATCGACTCCAGCATCCCCTTAAAAGAAGGGAAGTAAACTGAGTGATCGCTTTTTTTGGCAGAGTAGAATGGCACTTTTCTCTGCGTGCGAATCAGCTGTTGTTGAATTCGAGCAGAGCGGGGAAAGTTGCAAACTTGCGAGAGATGAGAGTAACGTTGACCAGCCGTCCCCGCGCGTCCTTATTTCCCGCTTGATTTTCCGGTTTCACTTAATCGAGCCGCTTCTCTCTCTCGTTTTGCAGGGGCTCGAGGCGACGCTGAGTGACAGCAAGAAGAAGTACGGCGACAAGGTGAATGCACTTCTGTCCGCCTGGGAGCATGTCTCCAATTATATTCCTGCGGCACCGCCCGAGGCCACCCAGTCTCTCATAGAATGGGCTCACAGGTGGGTAGTATGCGCCGTCGATCCGTCCTGGCAGCCGCGATTATGCAACCAACCCTCGATCAAGAAGAAAACACTCCGTGTTTCTCCCTCTCGCGAAGTCTCGCACGGCGTGGCTCCGTTCTTAGAAGACACGCCGGTAAAAACTTCAGGATCACTCCGCGAGGTCGAGTCGTATCGTAAAGAGTTTCAAGCTGTCGCATAGAAAGAAAGAACACTCTTTTTTGAAAGAGTGTACCTTTATTTCTGACATATTAATCTTCAAACGAGATTAGTGTTGAATGAAGATATAAGTTTATTTGCGAGAATATATTTTACATGGTTTTCAACAGAGAAAAATCTGTTCTTATTGCTCATTTTCATTAATGGAGAGCATAAAACACTGAATTAAAAATCTGTTCTTAAATGTCGGAAGAAAATATCGTTATCTTCGAGATAATCTTCGAGATAATCTTCGAGACATTGTATTTTTTACGAGATTATAGTAATATATAAATAAAATTCCAACGTTATTGAAATTCAAATCTTCAAAATTCTTCTAACAAAGTTATATATCGTTGCTTACATATGAAACAGTGATTGTTAATTCGATTAAAATTAAAAAATTGACTCTATGATGTAAATGAAATTAAAGGAAGAGAACAAAAGAGCATTTAAGAGCCAGTCGCAGATATAGTAGTGCTGTTTATATGCAATAAAATGTGCTAATAATAATAACAATATCTGTGTCTGACTCTTAAAGGCTCTTTTCTTCTCTTCCTTTAATTTATTAATTCGAGTACATTAGTTTTAAGTGAATAATAATTTTTTTCTGTGCGGCGACTTTTAAGGGAATTATAATAAAATAATTGAGTAAAATTGCGCATCTCTTCGCGTTGTGTTCTTCAAAAAAAGAAATGTTGCATCATTCAGAAAATTCAGCAAATTTAATTTTATTGCTCAAACTTTTTATTATATATAATTTATTACCATTCAGCTATATACATTAAATAGCCAAGAAGGGGACTTGGTTTACATTAAACAACTACCTTCAAACTTTTTATTATTTGCTCAAATTTATTCGATGGAAACCAATCATCTATAAACAAGCAAGTCGCTATCCGTGATCCTTCGCCAACGTTTTGGCAGCGTAATATCGTCAGCATTGTTGTTCGCATTACGTGTATGTGTGTGTATGTGTGTGTGACACCGTTTATTGAAAATCGAACCGAACTTTCTAACCGACTTAATCAAATCGTATTGGTTTACGTCTGTTGAATAACTCAATACCAGCGCTGCCAGTCCAAAGGGTCGTTTCTAATTACATGCATTTGTCGTTTAATTATGTTCATTGCATCACGTCTGTCGTCGCTTCGCATTAGATGTTATTTTCGCGTGCATATGACCCATTTAGCGCACCAATAGATACACCCAAGCTTTTTTGTCTCCCCGTCTACCAGTCGGGGCTTTTTTTTTTTTAGTACAAAGGTAGCGCGCGCGAAACGAGTTTCGATGTAACAGCGTCGTTCTACGGCAGATGAACGTGACGAGAGAGAGAAAAAACGAAAGAAGGGGGCAACAGAGTGAGAGTAAGGGGGAGAGAGAAGGCGAGAGTGAGTGAGTGAGTATGTGTGTGAGTGAAAGAGAGCAAGGGGGTGAGTTTATGAGTGAATGAGTGAGTGACTGACTGACTGCGTGAGTGAATAAGAGAGAGAGAGAGAGAGAGAGAGAGAGAGACTGATGGCGTTGAAAGTAATGAATCTGCATGTATGTAGCACCGTCATACAAACGATCCTGGAATTTTGAATAGCAATGCGACGCAAATTCACGTTAACGTGACGGGTATACATTCGAGGAACCTTGTATACAGGGTGATACGAAAAGGGTGATGCCCGAGAGTATCATTCTTCGTGTAATTTTCCGCTGTTTCTTCTTCTTCCTTCCCTCTTTTTAATGGGCATCTAATTAACGAGGCGCACAGTGTTATTCTCGCGCGACGGGTAAGTTCTAAAGGTGCACGTAAACAAGCAACTTCCGTTCGTCGATTAAAAAGGAGGAGTTCTGACTTAGATAGCCGAAAAAGATTTTGACGAATTTTTTCCAAAGGAATGAACATCGACGTAGGGTTTCGATTATACTATTCGTCATTGTTTTAAGGATCAATGCAAAATTATCCTGATTCACGACAACGCTATACCGCGTGTTGATGTTGCGACTAAAAAGATGTTGTTCGAGTTAGATCGGAAAGTCCTGCCACACCCAGTGTACTGTCTTCTACATCAGCCCATTTGATTTTCATCTATGCAGATCTATGCACGATTGGTACACAATTCTGAAATTCTGAGAAAGTGCGAAGTGAATCGATGAATAAATTGCCTCAAAAGATGATTCATTTTATCGACGCGGAATTGCCCGAAAGATGACAAAAGGTTATTGTTAGCAACGGGGCCAAGGTTTTGATCATATTATGTCATTTCATTGTTATTAATAAATAATGGCTTTAATATCGTATGAACTTTTGCAAGCACCTACTTAAAACAATAGATCTATTTTTTTTTAGCTGAACTGCCTGAACTAGTGCAGACAGACAGAATACGTTTGTCTCACTTTAATTTATTGCATCAGTGTGCACCAGTTCAGATTGTTTAGCTGCAAGGAACAGACCTAATCATGAATAACATCGTCGAAACCCTATATCTCTATTCACTTCTTTGAAATAATTCGTGAAAACCTATTTTTTCGACCATCTAAAGTGGAACTTCCCGTTTAACGAGTGTTTAAAATTAAGACAACGGCACAAATGGCACGGAGCTGTCGAGTTCCCTTACTCGGGATCTTTCGTGAAACTTCCATGCGTCTCTCTTCTTTCAATGCCGAGTCCTCGTAGTGGAGCAAACACATAAGACGCTCACGAAAACAAGTTATCCTGACAAACGCACACGTCCTCCCGGCGTTCTTCGCGACGCGCTCACTCACGTTGTCCCTCTTTGTTGTTGCACAGACATACGTTGACACTGGTATTGCGCGGGGAGTGGCCGAAGTTGGCACCCGTCGCCAAAACGCACCTCTGCGTGACGCTGCAGAAGTGTGTGTCTCATTTAACCCAACACCCCGCTGCACCCAGGTGCACCGCTCTGTTAGCGCTGGTGCACAATCCATGGACACATCCAACCCTCGACAGCATACTTAACGGCCAACCGGATTCCGAACATGAGGAGGGTAAGACGAGATCAAGTATTTAGTGCGATGATAATAAGTTAATTTTCTTGCGCGCAATTGTATGAGTTTTCTCGACAGCACCTCCCAATATCATGCATACGGAAATGTTTTTTCTATTATTCTCAAATGTTTCCGTTTCTATTTCATTGATAATGCGAATTCCTCAACTTTGTTGTTTGTATTAGTTCATGTGTGCAGTTGTGTGTTGTAACTAAATCTTATTAACGCCCGTGTAATTATTACAATCTGACAACTGTCAAAGTTGATGACTCTCAGTTGCGAGTTAATTAAGAAGTTGTGGAAAAGTTATCTTGCATTAAATATGTAGTTTATAAGTACATGTAAGTAACTCTCTCTATAAGTAAATTATAGAGAAAAAGAGAGAGGGGGAGATTGTTATAACTAAGTAATAATTTTATCTCCGTAATAATCATATTTCGACATTGGGTCAGGAAATTTTAGCAATCGAGGCCGTTATTTCAGGTTTCCTGAATATTGGTTTATTCGTACGCTTAAAATTTGTATTTTCCGATTATTTAAAAATCGTATCGTTGATGTGTTAACAATATTTTTATATTACATTGGTGCAAGAAGTTTGTCGTATATATCAAAAAAAACAAAAACAGAATTATTCAATTCCAAAGAGTTAATAATTTTCATAAATAAATCGATTCGGAATTTTTTTTTTAATTAGTATCAGTATTTTCCTTCAGCTTACATAGCCAAAAAAAAGAGGAGTTGGTTTTTACAGTTATATTTCTTAAACACATACATCTAATTATTCCTTATTTTTATCTGGTTACTAATATCCCTGTAGTTATATTGCCTCTCTCTCTAATTGACTTTATAATATCATACTCGTTATCTAAATATGCTTGTAATCTTATCTTCTCCAATCTTCTTAATTTTCACCTAACCTTTACACCACGCGACGTTACCTTCTCCCTATTTAATTAAACTTTTCTATTTCGTTCAATGCGAGTTGAAGAATTTATCTTCATGCACAAACTCTCTTTATAAAAAAGATAGTCTTCTTAGTAAAAAGAAGAAGTTACAGGATATGGAAAACTTCTTCCCTTCAGCTGGACACACCTATCTCTTTATGTTTCCTCTTCGATCTCTTTTCCTCGAATATTCTTCCTACCTAATATCTTGATAGTTTCATTATTTCATTCTATACTTCCTACTAACTCCATGAAGTGATTCCTCTGACTTTTTCTTCACTTTTTATATATCTCCTTCAGCTTACATCGCCAAGAAAGAGTTTTCCATATCCTGTAACTTTCTTCTTATTCTTTGCACTTCAATCTTCTTGCACAGCACCTGTCCCAACAGTTCTTGTGTCATCCTTCTTTCTTTATTTTGCTTCTCTATCCCATCCGATGGCCAAACATTTCCTTTTTATTTCTAATTTTATTTCCTCTTCTTCCTCTTATCTATTGTGTACTTCTGTTTTCTACCATCTATTTTCTTTTTGAATAATTTCTTCTGCATTACCATAATTTAAGTGCTTGCCTGCGTTATCTATACTACCCGTTCTTTATGATACTATAATTTCTATTATCTATGCATTCTTACCACCCTAAATCTTGCTTTTCTATCTAACGCCTTGTTTCACCTTCACTCATACACTATCTACGCACTTATTTTTATATAACTCTCCTATCTGATCCTTCATACTTAATTTAATACACTAAAGTCACACACATTCCAAACTCCCGTACCACATTAACCAGGTATCCACACAATTGTAAATCATCTAATAAGGAAACCCACAAAAGTGTTCGCCTCTGATTTTCATGAACTTGTAATATGTTGTACTGTAGATCAAAATAACAGATACGTTTTTTATTATATGCAAATTTAAGAGGTGAAATACTCTTTTGAAGAAAATCGTTTTTTTTTTTTCATTCGAAGGGAATATAATGAAAACTATAAAAAATTGAAAATAAATATTTTGAATAAAAGTTGAATGGTTTAAGGAATACTTTACAGAAATTATTTTAATAATTATAATAAGAAGAAGTGGTAGATAATAATAAGAATAATTATAATAAAAAGTAGGGGAATATTAACAAAACAAATTTTTTTTTCAAATAATTTCTGTAAAATACTCTTCAAACTATTCAACTTTTATTCAAAATATTTTTTTCTATTTCTATAGTTTTCATTATATTCCCTTCAAATGAAAAAAAACCGATTTTCTTCAAAAGGATATTTTATCCCCTAAACTTGCGAAAGGACACATACTATAATAAAAAACGTATCTGTTATTTTAATCTAAAGTACAACATATTTACAAGTTCATGAAAATCGGAGGCGGACACTTGTATCGGTTTCCTTGTAAGTCTAATTTTTCTTAATCATTCAATGAAGATTTTTCCTATCTATCTCCTTTTTAATGCTTAAACTTCCTACGAGAATTCAATAGAAAAATGACAAATCTCTTGCGCCACTTTAATTTTTAATTAATTGTATCACTAGATCGGAGAAATAATCATCTTTACAAAAATTAAGCGATCTTGAGCCAGCGTCACCGGATATCTGATTATCGAGACGTTTGCAGAGAGAACTCGTTGGGAAAACCAAGTGCTAAGGCGTCGAATGTGCTTTCAGAATTCTGTTGTTCGGAGAAAGGCGAACTGCTGACGATGAGACTGAAAATACTCTGCGAGGACCGCTGCGAGGACATAGCGGTGAACCTCGCCGCTGCGTGCGTACGCTCCCTCAGACGAAGCGATCAGCTGCGGTCGCTCTCGGAGTCTCATCACGTCCACTACATGATCGACGTGTACATTGTCCTCTTGTACAAATTGAAACGCACACAAGATATTTTCGCTCAAGTGAGTATCGGCACAAGCATCTAGTCGCGGCTGTTCCCCGCATGAACGATATTTTCTTCCATATCTTGTTTCATTATTCTACTTTATACTTCTCACTAACCTCATGAAGTGATTCCTCTGCCTTCTTCTTCACTTCCTGCATGTCTCTTTCAGCTTACATCGCCAAGAAGGAGTTCTCCGTATTCTATAATCTTCTTCTTATTTTTTGCACTTTAATCTTGGACAGCACCTGTTCTCCAGTTATCTACTTATTTATTTATAGTCAGAGTAAACCGAAGTGTGCTAGCTGATAGTATAATAATTAGTTTTCCTCATAAATGTAGAATGCCTAATAAAGTGCACTACAAGTGCACAAACTGTGATAGAAATTCACATGCATAGATCTTAAATAAACTCTTACAATCCAGCCGGTTTTCTCGATGACTTTTAATTTTTTTCTTAAAAAAATAGAAATTTTTTATATATGTAAGGATAGATAGGGAAAAACATGACATCCCCGTCGCGTTACTATAGTAGCTTCTCAAGTCGGTACGATAACTATTTTTTTTATTAATTTTTTCTTATTTAATCGTACAGGAACTTTCTTTTTGTATTAAGAATTATAAGAGAACATTAATTTATTCAATCATACAGAAACGATTTTTTTTTTTTATTAGAAGTTATGAAAGGATAAATTTATTTTTTACAAAAAATCACGCAAAATATATAATAATAATATATGATAATAAAACAGAATCAAGATATAAAAAACGAGATGTCTATTATTACATATATAAATTTTAAAATATGTTTATTAGTAAAACATTAAAAATATATATGGTATAGATATATTTGCGTACCTTTTTTAGTTTTCTATTAAAAAATTTTTAATTTTTTATATTTTTAAATCTTACTAATTTATATGGACAATACAGATAATAATGTGATAAAAATAATAATATTAATAAGAATTGTAGCTGTGTGTATTTCACAAAGTCACTGCCGCGTCACTGTAGTAACTTTCCAGATTGCATAGATTAAATATCTCTTAGGATAATATTCATAAGGCAGATCTTATATTTAAGATCATTTCAAATTCGTCTTTCATGCTGTATGAATCGTTTCATTGGCTACGGAGCATCTGGAAATGGACTTGAGATGATCTCAAATATAAGATCAGACTGTATGAGTACCGACTTTGAGTGGCTTAAATCCCAGTAATTAATTAGTGGAAGTAGAACACTTGTTTGTCGAGTCATAAACGAGTTCAATGATATCTTGAAACTATCAGTGAATCACTTGGAGAAACAGAATTGTGACTCAGCTGGTTCTCTTTAAGGAATCTTATCGGAAGCGTTAGACTATTTGTGAATCATATCGAGTCGTTCGACTTGCCGAATTCGATTAGATGAAAACTGAAGGAAAAGCTATACAGTCGTGAAACCCAAGAGACAATTGTGAAACATCAATTTGCTAGTGTAGTTTTAGTTGACTGCTCATCGACGCATTTAAATAACTAAATAAAAACTCAGCCATTTATTAGGTCGGTACAAAAATTTGTCATGCATACACAAATGAAATAGAAAACGAAATTATCCAATTCCGGAGGATCATATAACTTTTAAATAAAATGTACAACATGTATTGATTCGATATCTTTTCCAACATTTAACAAATTCGTTCTATTCTCACTCTAATACCCAAACTTTATGAAAGAATTTGATGGAAAAATGACAAATCTTTCTCATTAGTCTAACTGAAGATCAAAATCGCGTCCCGAAGACGACAAGCATTTAGTTTTCTGCCGTCGTGATTGACGGACTTATCATACGTATGTATGTGTGAACCGTTGCGCTGGAATTCAACAACTTTGCTTTGTTGCAGTTAAAATTAATGGATCTCAGCGATGGTCTTGAATTGGTCCAGAGGCTCAGCGGTGAGAGGCCAACAAAATATGGAACGGCGCGCGTTTGGAGAAATTCGATAAAGGCTGCGGAATTGGTCGCACAGTATCTTGTTACTGCTGGAATGGTGCGGCCGGTGTCGGAAACTGGAGCGAATATTTTGGAGCAGATCTTGAACTCTTGGGCGTTGCTGCACGCAAAATTGAAGGACGTCGCGCCTACTTTACCCGGCATGATTAGAAAATTAATTGAACCCGCGGAGAGTGCTCAACATATTTATATCTTCTGTGCAGTACTTGCGAAACATGTGAGTAGATGCTTTTAATTCAAACATATCGAGAATTTAAAGGATCAAATATTTCGCGAGAACTTAAGAGAAGGTATCTTCTACAGGGTGTAGAGAAGATAACTCACGCAAGAACCGCAGTGTACAGATAGATTAGATCAAACAGAGCAAAAAATTCCTCTACCATTCTGCAAATAACCACGTAAAATTTTGAGTTATAAATAGAGATGTGCGAATCAAAGATTTTTAATGTCGAATCGAATCTCAGATTTTAATTTCGAATTCGAATCGAACCGAATGAAATCAAATTGAATCGTTAAAAGAATTTTTAATTAACATAATCGTTGTATTTAACATGAAAATAGTGACTTCAGTAACTAACAGAGAGAGATAACATTGATTATGTGATATCAATTTATTTTAAGGTAAGAGATATATAATATATAGTCGGTAAACGTGTATGAAATACAATTCCAGTCTTGAAAGCTGTACAACAACACATATCGATCCGACAGTTGTCAGTAAGAGTTTATCTAGAAGAGTTTATCTAGAAGAGTTTATTCATTATCTTATTTTAATATTTTTGAAGAAAATCTGAATGTATAGCAAACTTTTCAAGTCATGCTAATTCGCGTAAGATTGGATATCTTTAATAGTTCTTCGTTAATACTATTGTGTGCGATCCGTATTCGAATCTTTTCGATTCGAAACTTTCGAATTATTTGGATTCGAATCTGAATTCGAATTTAAATCGAATCGAATTTCATTTGATTAGATTCGATTCGAATTCGAATAGTTCGCACATCTCTAGTTATTAATCAAAGAAGATTCGTGAATGATCACGTGTCATACTGTAATGATATTATTGTGCATAATTGTACATCAATCTTGTTTAACCCCTTCGCTGTCAGACAAAATTACATTTTCGTGTTAAAAATGTTTCGAAAAATGAAAATCTTTAGAATGGCATGACAAACACAAAATTAAGGCTTTTGGGAGCGCTGAATTTGAATCTGAAGTCAGATTTTGAAAATTTATAATGGCGGATCCAATATGGCGGACCAAAATTCGAGATTTTCTTGGAATTTTGTGAACGTGGCATATGTTTATGTTTTGGTCTATATGTTTTCAGGGTTACTGGATTCAAATCTGAAGTTAGATTTGAACTCAGTATTATTAAAAAGCAACTTTCACTTTTATATATATATATATATACATAAAATCCCAAAATTTTTCCGCACTTTTGACCGCCATATTGGATTCGCCATTTTGAATTTTAAAAATCTGACTTCAGATTTGAATCCAGTAACCCTGAAAACAAATAGATTACCACTTTCACAAAATTTCAAGAAAATCTCGAATTTTTTGTCCTCTGTATTGGATCCGCCATTTTGAATTTTAAAAATCTGACTTCAGATTCAAATTCAGCGCCCCCAAGAACCTTCGGAAACCCATTCACAATCAAACCGAATGAAATTGAGCATATTTTTTTTTAATGCGCATATGTGCGTCATGGAGCAAAAGTGGCACGACTTTTTTTGCGCGTATATGCGTCACTAACAGGGAAGGGGTTAATTAATAACTAAACATGGTCATTTGGAAAATGGTGGAGGACTTTTTTGTTCAGTTTGACCTAATATACAAGTATGCAGCGGCAGACATCGTCATCGCAACTCGTCTATCGTATGGCGCGTCATGATCATTCACGAATCGTCTTTGATTAATAACACAAAATTTTACACAATTGTTCGTAAAATAGTAGAGGAATTTTTTGTTCTGTTTGACCTAATCTACCCGTATACCGCGGCATCTTCGTGTTATCCAGTTACTGGACATCCCGTATATATCTTCTATTTATTATACAGAGTGTTTACGAAGTAAAGTACTTGGACAAGCTTCTAGGACGTATTCCTCTTATCAAAATAAAGAGAAAGATTTTTATAAATCTATAACAAAATATGAGTAATTGCAAACAGTAAAACAAAGTTTATGTTAACGCGTTACTATGAAATAATTATAAGTAAACGTTTAATTATAACAGTCCAGGCGAGCGGTATGTTCAGGGCAGTCTACTTTAATTCTTCTTCAATTAACAGCTGAAAATTTTTTCATGATTGTATGCAAAATGATAAAGAGAGATTTGTGTTCAATTTGATAAGTTTTACTTGCATACAACGAATATATCATAAATTGTCAGATACTCTATATAATTTTTCATATAATAACGAAGTATATTTTTCTCATATATCGAAGTATATTGAATGATATTTTATTAAAATATATTCTGTGATATATATTAAAGTACATTCCGCTTATATATATCGAGGTATAGTATTCTTTATATAATTATAATTTATTATATTTCTCTATAATATACTCTATAAGAGATATCAATTATATTAGGAATATAATAAATGACTAATGAGGGCTGATGAGGATATATATATATATATATATATATATATATATATAGAGAGAGAGAGAGAGAGAGAGAGAGAGAGAGAGAGAGAGAGAGAGAGAGAGAAGTATATTACACATATAAAGAAATGGGATATATATAAAGAAATTCTCTTTTTAATTGCAGTTTGGCGATAGTATAAAACCTTTGGTGATCGAACTTTACATCAGAGCGTTGACGACGGACATGAACGAGCTGGAGAGTCAGAAAGCGAAGTCGGACGACGACAAGGTGCGCGAGACCGCGAAGCGCCTGAGCACGCAATTTCTCAAATTGGCGGACGTAGTTGACAGCAATATCGGCATCGCGAGGGAGTGCGTTCTGACAGCCTTCTCCTTGCACCCCACCAGAATCTGTTACGACAGAATAAAAGAGTTGGCAGTAGCGTGCGGGAAAGCGAAGGAGGACGGCGGGCCGCAGGATACTAGCACTTTCGAAGAGAAAAACAAGCTCAAAGAACTCGGAGAAGAAAGTCCTTGTCTGCCTGGCGCCCTGAAGGACGCGCAGACCAAGTCGATTGGCAACGACGACGTCAAGCCGACAATTTCGGCTGCGCCGTCGAGTTCGATGCCTCCGGAAGTTCAGCAGCAGCATCCGTCGCAGGATTCGACCATCAGCAGCACGGAGAAGAACATAGACTTCCAGAGCGGCCAAGTGACGGAGACGTTCGAGCACACGAATCAACTGTTGAAGAGCCTGCTGACGCGAAACCCCGACGCGACGACGAACAACGACAGGTGTCCGTTGCGTCCGAAGTGCGAGCTGAGCGGGCCGCTCAGCGAGCTCTGTTTCAATTGCGACGAGTTCATCAATAGTCAACAACTGAACGTCAATAAGTCGCAGCCAACGGCGCTGAACGCGAGCGCCGCAACGCCGCCGGTCGACGGGAGCAACGTGGAGAGAACGTTAGACGCGCTGATACTGATCAAAGGCGACGCAGTCACCGGCTCAGCCAACTACGACGAGACGTCCGTGCCCAGCCAGGTATTGGACGGCGAGAAACTCGGCCTCTCACCGCAGCTGTGCGACGATCTCGCTGTGGTGCTGAGCAGCCCGCGCTACCACATGCTCAGCTGGGTGCTGGACTGGAACGAACTGAAGGGTCTGTGCGAGCGCTATCTGGAGAATGCCGAGGAGATGCGCAACACGAACAAAGAGCTCAAGTACCTGAACATCGATTACTCGCAGTTCAAGGACTGGCCGTCGGAGGAGGACACCAAGGACGTGTTCTTCGGCATCGAGAAGGGCTACGAGCAGTGGGTGGATCCGCCGTCCGACAATTCCGAGCAGTTCGGCAGCTTCCAGCCGGCCGGCGGCTACAAGCGCTCGTCGACCCGGCGCAGCATAGACGACACCACGGATTCGGACAGCGGCAGTATATTGCGCGTGCGACGTGCCGGCAGGGCCCGCAAGGTCCTGAGACTAGAGTCGTCCGAGAGCGACTGCGACAGCGCGGAGCGTAAGCCAAAGCACTTTCGGAATAGGATCAGCTCGGTGTCGGACAGCGACAGTAACACGCAGGACAGCCAAACAGACAGCCTAGGCAGCGACGGTTGCCGGCTGGAGACAAAGAAGAAGTCCAACAAATCCAACGGGAAGGAGGCCGCGAAGAAACGGCCCAAGTCGTCCAAGCTCACCGTCGAGTCCGTGTCGCATTTTCATATGCTGGTGAATGAGGACGCGCGGCACACGAGCGCGGCGCACGAGGACGCCAGCGGGTCCGACGTCAGCAGCGACATTATCACGCTGTTCTCCGCGGACATGGACGAGAACAAGCGCGAGACGATCAAGGGCTCGACGTACACCGCCGCAGCGCCGTTGATCATCACCGAGAGGCGGAGCGATCCCGCGGTGCTCAAGTCCTTGCGGATGTTCAGGCCGCAGAACTCGAAGAAGCCGACGCGGATCGCGCAGCTGCTGCAGAAGAACCTTGTCAACAAGAGCAAAGACAACGGCGATGACCGGGACGAGCAGCAGGCGGCGGGGAACATCGCTGCCAAGTTCGCACCGATGCTGAGCACGCTGAACCTGAATCCGAAGATCGTGCTTACGCGCGCCGACGAGGCCGACTGCAAGCAACTGCCGCGCGCGAAGAAGCCCCAGCAGCGTCTCAGCAGCGGCGATATCACCAGCGAACTGATCAACATACAGAAGACGATGCCGTATAACAAGAGCGTAATGACAACGTATCAGAAACAAAAGGAGCGCGCGACCGGCAAGAGCAACAACTCCAGCGGCAAGAACGACCTGGGCTGCTCGGTGGTGGTAGACAGCCGGCACGATCACCGTCATCATCTCGGCGCCGTCAAGTCCAACTTGGGTAAGACCAAGTTTGATATTCTCGCGCAGGCCGTTAGGGATTCCGATATATTGGCTAAGAACGTGCCGGGTTTGAATTCGCTGGACATGATGGTGCCGCCGCGGGTACGCCCCACGGTGAACGTCGTGCAGCTGTCCAGAAGCGTGCCGCAGAGCCCAAGCTCGGCGAGTGCCGCGGCTACGGCGGCGGCGATCAACAGCGGCAACACGCCGCCGCGGCCGACGCGCACTCCCAGCGTGGCCGGTAGCAGCAGCAGCAGCAGCAGCAGCAGCAGCAGCAGCAGCAGCAGCAGCAGTAGCAGTAGTAGCAGCAGCAGCAGCAGCAGCGGCGGTAGCATACAGCTGCCAGGCACGCCGTCCTCCGGCGGCCACGACAGCGGCGTCAGTATGAGCCCGGCCGGCCAGACGCCGCCGCCGAGGTCGTCGAATATGCCGGATATCGGCGAGGAGGCCAATCAGCCGCCGGACGCGCTGCCGACGAGCGTCGTCGTCGCGTCCACGCTCAGCGCCGCGTCCTCCTCGGCGCACCGTCACGACACCGGCGAGCCGTCGAATCCGCGCGCGCTAGCAATCCGGCGCGTGAGCCAGCAAAACCTATCTCCGAAAAAGTCACCCTCCTCACCGTGCGCCGCCCCAAGCAGCGCCGCGACCACGACTACCACGACGACAACGACAATAATACCGACAATGACGACAACGACGACGACGACGGCGACGACGACGAGCTTGGGAGTGGTGGCACAGACAGCCATCACCAGCTCGTCAGAGTCGGTGAAAGTCATCTGCAAGCCAGACGGCAGTTACCAGATCACCGCGCTCAATCCGAATCTCGTGTCGAGTCAGAGAAACCTCTTAGCGTTGCAGAGCCTAGACGACGACGGTAACGCGACTTTTACGCTGCAGACGCAGCAGCAGCAGCAACGCGCCGTCGTCGACGCGACGTCGATCGGCGCGTCGTCAAATCGGAACGCCTACGACCACCGAACGTTGTCCGGCGGCTCCTCCGTCAAGGGCGCGTTGCAGAACGCCGGCCAGAACGCCGTGCTGCCCAAGTTTCAGCAGGCCTTTCGCAAGACCATCTACACCAACTTAACGGCGGACGCGACCGCGTCGACGGAGACATCGCTGAGCAGCGTTCAGCAAGTTACCACCACTACCGTCGCGCAGAAGACGATGAATCTATCGAAAGCGGTGCAAACGTCCGTGCCCAACAGTCAGCAGCCGCCGCAGCAGCAGCAGCAGCAGCAACAACAACAACAAGAACAAACGAACCCCGCCACGGGTATCAATATACAGTCCATCTCCGCCGCTAATATTTCGAACCTGCAGCTGCCGAGCGGCGGCTCGATACTCAATATCGTGCAGAACGCAGGCAACAACAGCGCGACAAACGCCTCCAGCAGCAGTCCGAACACCGCCGCCGCCGCCGCCGCCGCCGCCGCCAACCAGGCACTGACGCAGCTCGTGCAGAACGCCAGCTCGCAGGGCGTCATATATACGCACAAAGTGATTGCCAGTAGCAATCCGAATCAGTTCAACCTCATCCCGGCGATATCGCACACCAATTCGATATCGCCCGGCAGGACCCCGGTGGTGAAGCTGAACATCATCCGCGCGCCGGTGAGGCAGCCGAATTTGGCGGGCACCACCATCCAAGCGGTGCTGACGCCGAGATTGCAGCAACAGGCGGCTCGAGCGGACACTATGATCGGTACCGCGATGGAAGTGAACAATCAAGTGAGCTCGACGACTTTGGAACAGCTGAGGGAGTTTGAGAGTGTGCTGGAACAAGTGAAGGAGAGGAGTATCCAGCCGCAGTCCCACCTCACGATCGTCAGTAACACGAACACGACGACCGTACAGACGCAGACCACCGCGCAGCAGCCTGCCATGACCAAGCAGCAGCAGCAGATCACCGTGAGCGCATTGGCGCAGCAGCTGATGATGCCGGCACAGTCGCCCAGCGGAGGCGGCGGCGGCGGTGGCGGCGGTGGCGGCGGCGGCGGCGGCGGCGGCAACAATAACAACAACAACAACAATAACAACAACAACAATGACTTCCCTAGCAACGGCGGCACCGTCACGTTTCAAGGGGAGCCCGTGTTTTCGCAAAAGGTCTCGTTGGCCTACGTGAATCCGAGCAGCGTCAAGGTGATGGGAGCCAACTCCACGACACCGGTAGTCGTGGTCACCAGCTACTGTCAACCGGCGGCGTCGCCCGCGCTGAGCGTCACCTCGCAGAGCTCGTCGAGCCCGTGCGTCACCCCGGCACCGGCGCCGGTTCCATCGGCCGGCAAGACACCACCATCGTCCACCAAGAGCATGAAGAAGTCAACGTCGAAGACGCTGAAGAGCAGTGCCACCAATACCTCCAAGACACCGCCGATACCGAAGCCGCAGCAGAAGCCGCAGGAAGACGAGCAGACCGCGCAGCGGATCTACGCGATCCTCGACGAGTACGCGGAGCAGCTGCGCAACTCGCCCGACTTGAACAACAAGCCCGCGCCCAGAAGAAGATCCAACCCACCGACCAACCCGAGCCAAACGTCCAAGCGCAAGAAGTCGGGCAAAAACAAGCCGGTGAGCTCGCAGACCTCAGAACTCAGCCCGAGCACGGATGACCTTGGTAGAACCATGGGCAGCGAGGACTCGTCGAGTGGCGTCGTGCACGTACAGGACAGTCCGGCTGGCTTCTCCGCGCCGGAGGAGCCGCCGGTGAGCATGGCCAGTGTCGTGGAAAGCGCCGAGGTGCGCAACCTGACGAGCGACTCGAACGACGACGTTGAGCTGAATCTGAAGCGGCGGAACCTCATCTTCGCGGAGCCGGGCTCGGGCCAGCCGCGCACGGTGATCGTGCAAGAGGCACTGCAAACCGGCTCGGTGAGCGTCAGCGAGGCCTTCGCTTCCGCTGTCACGAGCAAAATGGGCGGCGCGGCGGTGCTGATGCCGACGAATCTCCTGTTGCCGCTGATGAAGGGCACTCAACAGTTCACCGTGGTGTCCGGCTCCAAGCTGGTGGCGATGCCGACGGCGGTGCGCACCGCCGCCGGCAACGCCGCGATGTCAAACGCCTTGGTGCTGCAATCCTTCCTCAATCAAGGCACCAAGTTGATCTCCCCGCAGGCGCAGGTCAAGCAGATGAAGCTGCCGCCCACCTTGCAGTCTTTGTCGAACAGCCAGACGCTGAACACGAGCGTGCCGAACATCCAGGCCGCGTCCGTGGTGATACCGCAGTCCGAGAGCGCGCAGTTCGCCGTGGAGACCGCTACGACGACGACGGTGGCGGTGCCGGACAAGCCTACTGTGATCAGTGACATCACGCTGAAGAACGACACGACGGTGGCTGCCGGCGACGGCAGCGGGTTGACGATCGACCCCGCGGCGAACGCCACCATTGTGGTGAACAAGAGCAGTCCCACCATCAGCCTTATACCCAGAGGCATCAGCGAGATCGCGGACAACCAGCAGATATGCGGCGTCATCACGAGCAATCCGAACCTGTCGCTGCAGAGCACAAGGCTGTACAACTCCAACATACACAAACTGTCGTCCCCCACCAACTTGAAGTCCGACAACGCCATGGTGTGCATCACACCGGCCGGTGCCGCCGCCGCCGTCGCCGCCGTCGTCACGCACTCGCCGGAAAAAAAGTCCCAAGACACTCAGGTCGTGGACAAGTCGTTGTGTATGCAAACCCCCGGCACCCTCGCGCTTTCCTTCGGCTCGCAGACCGACATAAACGCTATTCTAAATGACGATCAGCATCAGCATCAGCATCAGCAAGAGAATCAGCAACATCCTCTGCAACAACACAAAGATATGAAGGAGGCGTTCACCGAGATCACGTCCGCCAACAAAATCGTTTCCCCGAAAACGGTAAAGAGAAAACTCGAGGACAGTATCGATATGCAGGAAAGTGTATCAAGAACTTTGATCCCCACGAACATTGCCACGTCGTTACAAAATAATACGAAAATTGGTAAGGGCTCGCTCACGACACACGTAGTGGAAATGTGTTGTTTTGCGTCTTTCACACGGCCGTACCATTCGGTTTTTGCACATTTTTGTACGGTGTACTTACACTGTGTGTTGTGCCAGCTACAACTGCCTGTTGTTTTCGTTGTCGTCATTAGTCAGTCGCAGCTTATACGTAGGAGGAGTGACTTTTTACCCCGTTGATTATATCATTTTATTATTTTATTATTATTATTGTTATTATTATTATTGCTATTGCTATATTTGTTATATTGTTTATTTTTATTATTATTATAATTGCAGATATGAAGTCAAAACGGGCCTAAATGTCAGATGCTCCAAGATTGAGACACTTTTATCTCGATGAGCTTCACAACATATTTTATATTCAATAGAAGAATTTGTTCTTTAAGAGATACATTTTTGAGAATTTCTTTAAAAGATACATTTTTCTATTGAATATGAGATTCGTGGCTAAACTCATTAAAAGTGTTGCGATCTTTGAACCTCTGGGTTACAGAAGTGTGAAAATTATTAGAATAATTTTGATTTCTCTATTTATTTTTTCTGATTGTTTCAGAAATTATTACAATTTGTTATCAATATTCTCTATAAGTCTTAAAATGATTACAGTATTACATATTGTACGACTAAATCATATAAATAAAAAATAACAATCATATTATATATTAGATTCTGTTGTGAAATATACTTTGCATGAAAAAGTAAATTTTTATATTGGTAAAAGCGGATATCTTATACACTAAGAAAAGTAGTTGAGAATTTATTTTTGGAATATAAAGTTCGTTTCTGTGAAACGAACCCGTATTATTTATATAATTTAGTCGTGCAATATGTGATACAAATTTAATTATTTTAGACCTATAAGAAATAATACTAATCGTAGTATTTTCTGAAATTTATCGAAAATAACAATTAAAATTAATGAAGAAATCAAAATTGTTCTAATAATTCTCATACCTCTGTATACTCGTTTGCAGAACGGTTTGAGCACTTTCCTCGACATACTTTAGAGTGCAGCCGACGTTCAATGAGAGAATGTGTTTTTGATTAATTCTCGTAAGACAGCTTCTTCAACTAGATGTCGGATTCGTTTTGAAATTTGCTAAAAGTGTCCAAACTGTTCTGCAAACGAGTAAATAAATAACAGTAGAATGCATGATGTTTTTTGATGCAATTTCGCATTAGTCTCGACTATCACACTCGGCACTTAGCCCCGTTTTCACTTGAAATTAACGATCTACTGGCGATTGAGTCTGATGGAAAATTCTGTATACATTACCTTAGATTAGAGTACACATGTAATATCGCAGATAATGTTTATCACGAATATTGCGCGTGTACTAATGTCGACTAATGCTCTGTTCGTTGTTCTTCTTGTAGAATTCATGTCTTCAATCGCCTCGACGAACAAGCAGCCGACCATTATCGACAACACCTTCCTGGTAACTGGCGGTCCGAGCAGTTCAGACAGCCAGGAATCGCCGGTGCAACAGACGACCGAAATGATCGACAGATCGTGCAAGATCGGCAACGGGCTGCTGTACGGAAACGCACGCTTACAGGAAGCATGGGAGCCAGAGGGGAAGGTGTCGCCGGACACGCCGTGGAGATATATCCCCACGTCGATGAACATGTTGAACAACGAGCCGTTCAAAGCGTATGTCAGGTAGTGATTAGTTAACGCAAGCATTTCGTATCATATCGGACGTATTATAAAAGCAAAGTTGTAAAAATATTGAATTTTTCTCGATTTGATAATTGATTTTAATAAATACGTTTGAATTCGTTTTAATTAACGGTTGATTCAAGCAAAGTCAATCAAAATTTAATTGACGATTCATCTCAACGAATTCAATTAGAGACTATTTAATTGACGATTGGATTGGTGAAAGGAAAGAGCCAGACTGATGTGACGTTCTGAAAAAAGATAAATTTTTGGGAAAATAAAATAAATCTTGCGAAAATATTAACTAAGTGACTATTAAACTTTATATTACTGTTTTTGTTATTTAGGAAAATTTATAAATATATAGCATATGATCGAACTCACGACTGTAAAAAAGCGGCAGGAAAAATAGCGTCTGTTCTAGTGATCTGAAAAGATCAAGAAACCAAAAAATTTCTTAAATAATATGCTCGTAGTTAGAAGATGAACTTAAAAAATATAGAAAAACATTAAACTTAATATCTTTTTAATAGTACAAAATAACAAAAATTTCGATATTTAATTTTTAAACAGCTATTGTTTCTACAATTTTCGTTCTGTAGCTTAATATTTAGATTCATCCTGCAAGTATATTATTATTAAAGAAATATATAATATATAATATATTATTATTAAATTATATGTAAAATATATTAATAAATATAAAAATATTAATAAAATATTAATAAAAATATAGATAATAAATTATATTTAATAATATAATTATTATTAAATTATATTATATATAATATGTAATATATTATTATTAAAGAATTTCTCTTTTTCATCTCAAATCATTAAAACAGACGCTATTTTTCCCGTTGATTACAGCGATATTTTTTGCAGTACTCGGCCACATGCTACACATTTGTTTATAATTTTCCTAAATAACAAAAGTATTAATGTAAAATTGAATAGTTAATTAATATACAATGTTTCAAAACATTCTGTTGATCCACTTTCACAAAATTAATTCCCAAAAATACGCTTTTTTATAGAACGTTACATTGGTCTGGTCCATTAACAACTGAACTCAGCAAATTTAATTACGGGCCATTTAGTTGACGATTGAACTTGGTAAATTGCAACTCTTTTCCTTTATGAGTTTTTCCACGCATGCCATATTTCAAAAGAAAAATGGTATCTTGAAACTTACTAAAAAATAAATTTTCCTATCGAATATGGGATGTACTGTGAAACTCATCGAGAAGAAGTATTGCAACTTTTAGTCAGCCGACTGTATATTGCTCGCGTTGGAAACAAATGAACGACTCTAAAAGAAAAAAAGAAAAGCACAATCTGGAAAACCTCAAAACATTAGTTGTATTTCTTCTGTTATGTTAGAAGTAATTCGAACTCTACGGTGACATTGGATGGCAAGAAAGAACAAGAGAATCGAATGTCCATCCCTAATTCCAGGGACGACATGGAGAATGGGCCGAGCGTGTTGCAAATTATCAACAAAGGCCACAGCATTGAAATGGCGAGCGGGCAGATCTATCAGTCGAACATGAAAAAGTACTTCATGAATCACACTCTCGAATCATTCGGCAACAAGAACAGCATGTTGAAGGCGCAGCTGATGCCAAGGCTGGACCGCGAATTGATGCAGCAAAGGATGGATAGGAAGACCGCGGCGTATGAGCGCGAGCTGAAGCTGCAGAAGAGCCTGTCGGAGGAGTGCGAGGATCTGGGCGTCGACGAGCCGAGTACCAGCGAGCTGTTCCCCGAGGCGGACCTGCTGTTCGACACCAATCATTCGCCGTCGTACGACCACTCCTCGCAGGATGCATCCTGCAGTCAACCCTTGGGCATGAAGCCATACAACAACACGTACTTCCGCACGATGGACTCGTCGAGTGGCAGCCGGGACGACAGTCCGATCAACGACTTGATCAAGATGAACGAGCGTAAGAAAGGCGCGAATCAACGCGCGAGGACACTGAAGGACTCGATGAAGCGGAGCAAGCGAGAGAAGGAGGACTCAAACCTGGTGGACCATTCGACAAAGCACATGCGACTGACGCTGGACAGCCTGAGCCAGGACGAGGCGTCGAACAGTAACTCGGACATGTCCCGCTTGTCGCCGGGGAATCTCGGTTCGTTGGAGAACGACTCGTCGAAGGACATGAGCCATCGTGCCAAGCTGATCTCGAGGATCGGCTCGAAGGAGGGTACACCCAGCAGCGTGTCCAGCATCCCATCTAACATGAAGCTCGACATGGACATGGACTCAGAGTCATTGCCGCCCAGCATGAACGTCAACAACATCTCGATGGTAAGCGACGGCGACGAGAGCCTCACGTTACTGGGCGGCAACACCGCAGACGTCACCATACCATCGCCCTTGTCGCCGATGACAAACGCTGGGCCGCTGCTATCCACGCACAACAAGTACACGTACATCAACAAAAAGCGCATGACCTCGTCGAAGGTGCACGGCTACATGGCATGGGAGAGCCCGATGTCGGAACGCACGAGATCGAGTAGCGACGACGAGGACTCAAGCGTCAGCGAATCGATCAGCAGTCAGCCGGAAGACAACATCTTGAGCAACGGCCTGGAGGATAGCGTGCAGACCCTAAAGGCCTTGGCGGCTGATCGGCGCTGCACCTACGTGAAGAAGAAAGACAAGCTGCAGGTGAAGGCGAGGGTAGTGCTGAACCGCGCCGACCACACCAAGGCGGCGACAGTGTTGCCGTCGATGAAGCGCCTGCCCAAAACCACGGCGGAGACGATCGCGGCGGCAGAGTCGCTGGTGATGTCGAGCGACAAGGTGTCAGAGGCGTCCGAGGACGAGGCCAACAACATCGTGCTCTCGATGGAGCCAGACTGCCGCGCCAGGCGGTCCAGCTTGCGCGGCCACGTGAAGAAAGGCTGCGCCTGCTGCAACGGCTCGCCCGAGCGCCCGAAGAAGAAGACAACGGCGCCAACGGTCAAGCCGGATCACACCAAGCAGAAGAAGCGGCTGCTGGCGAAGCAGCCCGGCAAGAAGAGGTAGTCCTAGCGATCGAGCGCTCGCGCGAGCACCGCTATGTGTTGCTATATCCTTGTCGGCGCGTCACTGTCAAGCCGACCCTCGGCCCTCGCAGCCACGAGGAAGCCCATCGACCACACGCCCCGTTACGACCGAGACCGTCAGATGACTGCGGGAGCGATGCGTCGCTGTTGTCTGTTGCGATCGAGAAGAATACGCTTCGGACAGTAACGATCCTGCGCAGGATCTGCGACGATGGCATTGTAAATATTAGGAGCGCGCGGCTTATAGACGCGATTTCCGCCATTCACCGGGACACTTGGCCGCTGCTGCATTTGCAGTGCATAGGTTCAGTCTAGTATGTGAGAGAGGAGGAGGGAGAAAGAGAGAGAGAGAGAGAGAAAGAGAGAGATATATCTTCTCTCTGTGAGTTTAAATTAAACAATGAATTCATTTTACATTGTTGTGAATGCGTATATAGATATACTTATGTGTGTATGTATGCGTGTACACGCGCGCGCGCGCGCGCGCGCGTGTGTGTGTGTGTGTGTGTGTGTGTGTGTGTGTGTGTGTGTGTGTGTGTGTGTGTGAGAGAGAAAGAGAGAGCGAGAGAGAAGCAGTACGGTTTAGTTAGAATTCTCGCGTCGATAACAGTAGGTCATCCTTCTCTACCATTAGGTGTTAATTACCACATTAGATTAAGATATAGAGATCATTTATGAGTGGCAGACTTAGATTTAAATCGTTAAGGACCGTTTAGCGACGCAATCTAGTCAAGTCGATAAGCTCTGCGACGAGAAATAGGCAACGGACGGATGGGTGTGAACAAAAAACATTAAGTAAAATATAAGCGCAGCCGTAATAAGATCGTTGATAGAACCCTCGCAGATTAAAGAAAAAAAAGAGCCTGAATTTATATAATTCAAACCTACAGTACGTCTCTATCATGGAGTGAAGCTATTCCACGTTGTAACACGGTGTGGTCAGACTGAATAGACAAATAATACTAGAGTCTCTCCGAGGAAAATTATAGGATATAGTTGATGAGAGAGAGAGAGAGAGAGAGAAAGGGGGGGGAGAGTATGTGCAGTTTCTTTGGAATACATCATCTTTGCCTTTCGTGTAATGCTTACATCTGTATAACTTTAACTTCATAGAGGAGGATAAATTGTCGCAATGAACTCTCGGCGCTCTGCTCTTAAACAGCGCCTAGAAAAGACGGGATTATTTGACTAATAATAATAAAAATAATAATAGTAATATAATAATAATTAATAATAAAAGTAATATATGCACGACTTAAGTATGAGGTATATAACAAAGAAGAATAAAAAAAAAGAAATGTCGCAATAATGTTCTACAAATTATTCTAACAAGCTGTCTGTCATACGGCTCGACCATACCTTGTACCATGGTGCATGTAAAAAAATCCACAATTGTACATTACATAGATATAATTCATTAAAAGGTATATATATATATATATATATATCGCTGCACTTTAGTACAAAAATGCTTCACTTGGTTTCTCGAGGATGACAAGTTTATATCGTATTTCCATGTGCTGTCACGGTGACATGTGAGAATGGCTGCGATCTTAACTCACGGATTAACTCTAATCTTGTAACTCTTGTAAAATCTCGCGAACTGGACGGGCTGCGCGGGAGAGTTCATCCGATTATAGTTTCGTTGTCGTCGTCGAAAGCTGATATCCATTCCACGAACTTTGCCCCGACGTAATATACATATATATATATACATATACATATGTAGAAAAAACTCGTCGATTTGTTCTTTCTCTCTTTTTCTATTTTCTTTCGATGTCGCAAGGATTAAGGGAAAAAAATCGTAGCTTCAAGTAACCGAGATGTAACGTTCCTGTGAATAGTGTCGTTACGTGATATGAACCAAAGTAAGAAAGGCTCTTTCGAGTAGATGTGTGTGAAGGAAACGCGTAATAAGTCGATGTGGCGGGTGAGAGTAGCATATATATTATACGTATAGAATATGTAAACTACATTTACAAATTAATCCGGTGGAGCTCCGTGGATCTCTTTTTTTTTTTTATTTTGTTCTCTTAATTTCCGGAGAATTTTAATGAAAAAAAAAGAAGGAATTAGAAACATTGTTTCGAATGTGTTTAGGTGGTCGTTTTAATACTTTATCTAGATGTAAATAGCCCGATTATCGGATTGATATTCTTTATTATTATTGCTATTATATTATTATTACTATTATTATTATATATTCGATATATCAGGTCGCATACAAGCCAGGCACTAAGCGAGAACCGATGTGAAGGCTTCTTTCTCTGATTTAGCGTGAGAGTTTTGAGATCAGTCGCGAGACGGAAGGCGAGTCATTGCACTGTTTTGTAGTGGAAGAACGCTTGGATACGGGACAGGGCAGAGCGACGAAGAGTCAAATTGTTTGAGGGCGCCGCGATACTCGTGTCGTCGGCTTTGATATCATATCATATCATTTTATATAAACGAACAGTCCGGTGAATGGGCGAGCACACATTGAGCGATAATTTGTACTTTCTTTTGGCGAAAAGTTTCCAGAGCGATTCTGCTTTTTCTTTTGTATACTTTTTCTTTAGTTCGCCTCATGTTGCCGCGCGATAGTTTACATATTCTGCACGTACACCAACGCCGAATGGCATGGTTATATACTTTCTGTTTCCTTCGCGAATATATGACACACACACACACACACACACACACACACACACACACACACACACACACACACACACAC